TATAAGTTGCCTCAACCAGTAGCAACAGCTATGTATCTTTGAAACGTTACAGTGAAAAATCCTCAGGCTAGAACTTCTCAAATACAGCTGATGGATAGGTATCAGTTGTAGAACTCAGACTGTCTCCCTGTGAAACCTGGAAACTGCAGAGCCCAGAGTGAAGGCAATAAAAACTTATTTTGAAAGTTCTGTGAGGTCTTTGTGACTCAAGAAAAATGATAACATAGCAAGGCTCTTAGGCATGACAAAAGAAAAAAAACATGTCTGCTCTCAATCATTCTCTGAGCCCAGTGAACTGCGAAGAGGTCTCCTCTTTCAGTTCTAGAAGTGGTACCAGCCGTACTCAGCCTCTGAGACAAATAGTCAAACTTGAAACCCTGGCTGTTTAACAGTCCCATTCAAACAGCAATAAGTAGGGGCTTATCATCTGCCCGGTAGATTGTCCTTGGCTTGCTAGGCAGGTCTAAGACTGATGTAATAGCAGTGCCTCTCTCTATGTTAATATGTCTTGCAACTATAGGGGCCTCATTTTTTTCTCAATAAAATCTTTGAGAGACATTTGCAGATCAATACTGTTGAAGCTATGAATACATGCTATTATTTCTATTCTGCAAATGAATGAGGAAAGGATAATTATTTAGGCTGAAAAGATAAATGTTCTTTTCTTTTTTAAAAAATCAGGTTTAGTCATATGCACACCAGATAAACTGAAGCAGGGGGCAAATGTTTGCGAACATTTTTATGCGTTCACAAAGCATCTCTAGTTTGGCATTGCGTCAGGGAAGAGCAGGGGACTCAAAATGTCCAGAGGAGGAAATACATTTCTAGTACATATGAATCCAATTTGACAGTTTAGTTTGCTGTGCTATAGAACTGAAGCCAGATCAGTGCAGCTAAATACTGTCAGCCAGTAGCCAAATGATCACATGGGAATATTTTGCGTAGTATTAATAAGTACAGGGCAAATTTTAATTATTACTGTTCTATTTTTTCTTCACATGATCTCCTTAATTACATTTTTAAAAACATGGAACTAAGATAGTAAGCTTTGTAAGCCTATCGCTGCACGAGTTTTTGGCAGCAGCTTTTTTAAAATTATCAACACTGAACTGTCATGTCTAATTCATCCAGCTTTGAAACAGGCAAGACAGATGTCAGAAACAAAATATTTTTTCCTTCCTATTGAGGCAACAACTCTCATTAATGAATCCAATCAGAACTAAATGTGGTCGGTAGTGACAGAATGCTACTTGTTAAGAAGGAAAATGGAAAACTGCACAAGATGTAACATGTAACACAACTACATGTAAGCAAGCCTCTAAAGGGGGCACAGTGCCTCTATCAACTACATAAGCCGGGAACTGCTACTGAATCTCCAGAGAAAGCAATATTTAGCATCTTTTCTTATATTTTGCAAGATGGCCTTTTCAAGAAATTCATTATATACATGTACTGTATATAATCCCACATTTTTATTTCTTAGAACACAATATTGAATAAAGCCAAAGAAAAAGAGTGCATAGCTTTACATTTAAATGTTGTAGGTCGTCAAATAGAATACAGAATGATAATCTGTACCGTTCTAAATATCCTCGTTCTTTTGCAAATCTCTGGAAAGCCCCCATGGGGTCAGAGCCCGTACTTAAGATGAACACCAGTGGTGTGGCAGGAGACATATCCTGGTAAAGAGTTGCCAGATCAACTGGAGGATTCTCAATGAATTGTTTCCCAAGATTCTCTATTACAAACTCAGTAAGTGCAGAAACAATCTAGAAGAGCAACACAGTTAATTTGCTAGTGCAAGAGCATAAGGGGTAAGAACACAATTTTGTTCAGTATGAATACTAGTGGAACAATAATTGCATTTACTTCTCAACACTATTATTTATTTATTTATTTATATTTATTTACAGTATATTTCAAATTTGTCACCACCCATCTCATTACAAAGTGACTCTGGGAGGTTTACAGCAAAAACAGAATAAACCTTAATTAAAATGGATAAATATTAATTAATTAATTATTAATATAAAGTTAAATAGGTTACTCATTTTAGTATATTTTGTTTTGTATTTTGCTTCACAGATATACTGCCTAATTTCCTCCATGCTTATCTGGAAACTACAGGTAGTCCTTGTTTACTGACTGTCTTGTTTAGTGACTGTTCTAAGTTAGGTTAAAAAAAATAAATCAAAATCAAAAACAATCAATCCTCACATTTATGGCTCTTGCAGCGTCCTGCAGTCACGTGATCGCCATTCGAGCACTTCACAACTGGAGTGCATTTATGACTGTCGCAGTGTCCTGCAGTCACATGATTGCCATCTGCGAGCTTCACAACTGGCTTCCAATGAGCAGAATTAATGGAGAATGCAGAAGTGAAATCGCAAGTCGCAGTCACGTGAAATCTTGCTTAACGACTACAATGATTTGCTTAACAAAAGCAGAAATGACATTGTAAGCCTGGTGCAGTCATGTGATTTTTTGTTTAGTGACTGTGGCGCTTAGCGACAGAGTTGCCAGTCCCAATTGTTGTTGGTAAGCAAGGACTACCTGTAATAATGCTGTGCTGCACTTCAAAGTCAAAGGCAAAAAGGTATTTTGGAGCCTACACAGGTGGACTTCTCTACAACTTCTTACAAAAAGTTGTCTGTTGATATTGCACTCTGGCTGTGAAGAACCACCTCACAATCCCAGGAAAAGACACCACCTACATAGCACCCCCATGCCCTCCAAAGCAACTTTTTGTCTTTCAGTCTAAAACTCTGCCAGCCCTAGAAAATAAGTTACAATGAATTCAGTGTAGTTACAATGCAGGTCACTTGGAATTCCTTGGAGAAAAGCTGACTTTACATGTGATAAAAGTCTGACTATGAAATCATGATGGTAAATATTATAATATTATTAATTAAAATACCCATGTATATCTCTGCAAATGCAAGTAAATTATGTGTTGACTTTGTGGCTTGTATTAATCTTGTGCAGGCTTCTGACACTATTTTACCCCAGTTATTATTTTTCAATATTAAGAGGAAGAGAGTAAGATATTCATTTGCATCTTCCACAGGATTCCACTTGTGTTTTGATTCTTCCTAACTCGTTATAAATATGGAACCTTATTGTAACTATTTGTACTTACAAAGGTTATATCAGTATACTGTAAACCTATTTTACTCGGCTTAAACTATTTAGCAATATATACTGAAGTCAAGGAAGCAATTATGATTGGGTTAGAGTTAAGACACAATCTTACACTTATGACTGGGGTAGGACACGCCCTTACCTTGCCTATTCCATGCATGCCTATAGACCAGGAATCCCCAGACTCTTTAGCTCATTGACCCCTTCATGAAGTTTCAGATTGTTCATCAACTCCCAAACACTTATTATATGAAAATAATTTAATAAATACTACATTAACTAATAGTACTATGAATAGGAATAACAACAACAACAACGGATAGTCCCATCAACTCTTGGGGGCTGATATTCACCACTTTGGGGGACCCTGCTATAGACAGAATCAATCACACATAACTGTATACAAGGACCTTGCCATCTAGACCAGGAGTGCTTAACTTGGGTTCCATGGACCTTGGGGGAACCCATGAATATGGATGGGAAAAACATTACAACTTTATTTTCACTAACCTCTAACTGAAAATTAGCTTTCCATTCAATAATGAATATAGATAACAATTTATGGTCCTGCATGCCTGAAAGGGTGATATAGCAATAGTGCCTTAAACTGTTAATAGAAAATTTACCTTCTCTTCCATAAAGCATTTCACCACAATTAATTTCTGAAACATGGTCAGTGTACTATCCCAGAGAATGTTTGACTTGTCATCTTTTTTTTTCTTTTCCTCAGTTTCATGCTTATAACCTTCCCACTCCTCTGGATTGATACGAATATCAAGTTG